GTTGATTCCAGCAACAAGCTGCCTGTTTCTGTGTTATGGACAGAAGCACTATCCAGTTTCTGAAGAGCACCTGATGAGGCAATCCGCTGGAGGACATTAAGTGTTACATCTGTCTTTGGATCTAGCCAATCCACATTGCTAAAAATCTCCTGAACTTTTGCAAATGCTTCCACAGGAAGACCATCTTTCTCCTCCATACCAGGCAAATCAATTGATATAAGAGAAGTAGCAGCATCCATCTCCGAGAAAAGAACCTTCATCCAGATATTAACAATAATAATAATGAAAATGATGATTAGAATAGTAGTCGGATTAATGATAACAGTAATGATGATAATGATTGATAATATTTTGCTCCTAAACATGAAATTTGAAATTTCACTGACTATAACAGAGAACACAGAGGGATGTACGAGTACCTCTGCTCTGAAATCCTTGGGAAATTGATCCTTAACATTCCATAAGATGTCTATCTCCTCACGATTAAGCATCAAAATATTGGACCTTATAAAGGCCGTATTGAACATGATGCGAAACATCATCTCTTCACGTTCCAGATCATTATCCAAACTAATACACTCGAGAACCACATCACCTTGGATATGGCAATGTATATCAATTTTAACTAGTTCACAATCTGCCTGCACCAAGATGTGAAGAATTAAAACAAAATTTAACTAAGATAATTTGATTGATATCCCTGCCAGAAGCAACGCATCAACATGTAGACAAATGAAATCATGAGAACAAATGACCGAGAAAAAGCTCTACCTTGTTCAGGAAGAGAAACCACAATCTGTGATTACCAAAAGGAATAAAAAAAAACATATAAATAAGAGTAAAGTGACTTAAACCACCTGCTTGTAATGCCGTACGAGTTTGCTCCTTTTTGGAGTTGAGAACAAAACTTTAGGAGTCCGATCAGCAGCCATAAAAGGATCCTGTCCATATATTCTAAATATGGGACGGCAACCTCCCTCTCCATCCATATTAGGAATGAATCTTATGATAATGCAGTCCAATGTAAGTGCCCTATCCAGTGGAGGCCATTCCGATCCCACATTTCTTCTTGTTATATACTGAAGATACCTCAGTTGTGAAGGCATCGGATTCAGCGGTGACATTAACTGCAAAAGTTCCCGAGGTGCTTGCTTGTAAATGACGTCCAATGTCTTGTGCTCCCCAGTGTACTGCTTCCTGTAAATCAAGAGTGCAGCCAGCATAAAGGCCAAAACCAACCACCCACCTCGTTCACAATGCATTAGGAGCACATTTTGTTGCCCGAGTGAAAGCCAGCTCTCACTTGATCTCAGGAAGTGGTGTATCGCCTCCATTGTGAGAAGTGGGCAACCTTCATAGTGTCGAGGATAGTCCATTACGGTCATGTCATACTCAGACAATATGTTAGAAATCAGGCTTTGATTTTCTCCGTCTCGAAAGTTAAAGACCATGAATGAAGCTTCAGGAAACTGTTCACGGAGTTGACTCGCTATGCCTCCTATGTAAACTTTATATTCATCTTCTTCCAAAACGTCCGTGGTAAAACAGCAATCAAAAACTACATGTGCAGACAACACAATTGCAAACATGTAAGTAAACATATTGTAAATTGTTCTGCAGCATAATAATACAGGTTCAGTTATAACTTTTTTCCACTCATTTGTCACGGCATAATCATAATTGTAGAACCTGAGCAAATCACTGGACATATTTTGAATTTTTCGTAAAACACCTGAAAATTAGTTCTTATCCGGAAAAGTTTTCGGGGACATTAACAGAGCCTCCTCAAAGTTCAACAAAGTATAATATGTTCAATAATCTCCAGTTCCATTCACGCGGACTCTGCCAAACTGATGCAGTTCACTTCATTCTTAGGTATACCAAAACACATTTAGTAAATATGCATCTCCAAATATAGACATCTTCCCAAATTACAAATAAGCTGCTCTAGTTAACATTTTAACAATAAACACGTATACCCAAGAAAAATCATCATAACACCAATGCGTGAAATTCAAGCAATCAAACGAATTCAATAAACCAAATTCCTTTGAAATTAGAACCAAAGACAAACATACCATAAACCCTTTCAGAGATCTCCAAAAGCCCATCTGGCGGCTTCCTATAGAAGAACTTTCTGAACAACGCCATTGAGTGTCAAGATCCGAAAATACCCCTCACAAGAACACCTAAAAACACTCCAATACAACCCACATTGTCTCAGCTCATATACCCAGATCACCAAATGCCCAAATGAGTGCAATATAAATAAGGGTCAAGACGATGATGGTCTGCAACAGAGTGTATATTGAGGAACCCGAGGAATATGGGTTTTGCTGGGTCTCTAAGGAAAGTGCCTCTGAGTATTATTTGTGGTGTTGTTGTTGCTCTTGTCTTGGCATTCACACTTTGTATTTATCAGAGAGAGAGAAAAGACTTAGCTTTCAATCAAGAACCGTTGGGGGACTGAGAGGAAGAGAGAGAATGTGATGATGGGTATCTTCTTCTACGTTGTATTAGAGAAATAAAAAAATAAAAAAACGAAGTCAGATATGGCGTTTGTTTAAGCAAACAGAGAATAAGGGATCTGGGGTTTGTCTCTGTCTCTCTCTGTCTGTCTGTGCGTCTGTATCTAATGCGTTAGGGGAGAGAGAGAGAGAGAGAGGAGATAGAATTAGAATTACACAATTATGCGTCCTTGATTTTATTTTCTTTCTGTTTTTCTCACTTTTTCTTTACACAATTATTTTCATTGCTTTGGTGGCAATTCACACGTGTGCGTTCCCATGAAAAACTATATTTTTGTGTGTTTATTTTCTGCGTGTGCTACTTACAAAGTTTCATTTTTATCTTTTTGTAATTGTATTTTGCTAGAAGTCCTTCACCTATCACTTACAAAGTTTTAATCACGCGCGACTTAAAAAAATTTATTTTTTATTTTTTTGCAGTAGTACTTTTCTAGGGGCTCGTCTCAACAATATGGAGAACGAAAACTATTGAGCTTGCCACTGGAAACCAAAATCGAATCAATCCCATGAGGCATTTGCAACCTATCTGAACGTGCTAATTGTCTTTTTGTGAAGAATCTACCTAAATGTTCTTTTTTTGTGTGTAAGTAATGTACCTATTACCAAAAGAACATAAATATAAATCCTTATGGGTATAAATACTCTTTAAATAAATACATTTAAATTTAAGATAAAAATAAAAAATAAAAAAAGACAGTGCAGAAAATTAAGGAATAAATTACAACTATTTCGAATAAATATTTGAATTTATTTAAAGAGTATAGCCGCGCGGCTATACTATAAAAATATTCGAATATATTTAACAAGTATAGCCGCGCGGCTATACTATTTAAATAAATATTGTAGGGGTTTTTTTGTTCCAGTAGCTATAGATGGGCCTAAGCTGCTGTAAAGAGAAAATAGGTGGAGTTGCCCATGTGTATGAGTTCAAGAATCATGCCCTAAGAGTGCTTCAAAAGGTTCATGGAGCCCCAGGAAGCACTTTGGTTTCTTTCACCAACAAACAGATCAATATTTTGACTTGGCTTGAGAAGCTTGTGGCATGAGAGTTGAGCATTCATGAGTTTAACATTAGAGAGAGAGAACTTGAATTTCTCATGAGAAACAAAGGTTCAAAGCAAGGGGAGATGGAATTTTGAAAAGATTTGTTGAGGGAAGAGAGGAAAAGATGAGATTGGAAGAGTTGTGACTTGAGCAAATTTCCAACAGCTTGATGAAAGTTTCGTCACGCTCTTGGAGGGTTTGCCAGAGGAGAAAAAAGGAAGGAGATGGAAGAACAGAGCTTGAAATTGAAGGGTTCCAGTAGTGAGAGAGGATGCTTGCTCTCTCTGGATGTGGTTATTTGCTGGGTTGGACATGCCCCCTTTTATAGGTGCTGAAAGCTCCTCCTTCCCAAGAAACCCTAGCTGGTTCTCCCAAATCTACCAAGTCTCCCCCTCCATTCCTCTTCTCTTTCTTTGATTCATCCCCATTTTGTGAAATCCCCTTAATCCAAACACAGAGAGACAAACTAGGCCATTCAAATGGCTACCAATGTCCACCCAACCCCAGTTTCACAGTGGATGAATGAGGTTTTGGTGATGAAATGAGAACATCTATCATCTCAAAGGCCTCAACTTCTCTCTTTCCTAGTCGCCGGAGAAAGAAATCAAGGCATAACTAGGATAACTGGCGAAGCAAATGGGAGCGAGAGGGTGGTGACTGGTACCGTTTTCAAATGTCACCATTGAAATTTTGGGTTATTGCCAAAATTGGATTGATTCTAAAGTTTGTCATGTCACAACACATGAATTTTGTAGATGCCTATGGATGTATGGTTGCTTATACTCTGGGAACAAGGCTGCTTTCTAGGAATATATATCTACGATAAATAAAGTTGATGATCTGCCATGACTAGTGATTGGCGATTTGAGTGAGGCCATCTGGCGGAATGAAAAGGATGGTGATAACGATTAGCATCCTAGTAGATGATGATACCACCTCGAGTTCATGGAACTAATGTGCTTGATAGATTTAGGATTTCATGGGCAACTGTTTACGTGGGAAAGAGGATGTGGGAACGTCATAACGGTCCGTTAACTCCTTGACTGGGGTTTGGCCAATAGTGAATGGATGGAGAAGTGGCCCAATTCCCAAGTCACCCATTGTGCTCGGATGGCCTCAGACCATTACCCCATTGTATTAGAATGTAGGAGTGGGCACGGTCCGGTTTGGTCCGGTTTCACCCTCAAACCACAGCTGAACCAATTAAACTTTCACGGTCCGGTGTGGTTCGGTTTGAGCTAAAATCAAAATGAAAACCAAACCAAACCAAACCATTCATATACGGTTTGGTCCGGTTTGGTTCGGCCGGTTTAGGCATAAAAGAAAACATCATTTTCTCCATGTCCCCGAATATGTTCATTCTCAAGTTCCCTAATATGTTCCACATCATACAACCCAAAGACGTAAAGAAAAAACAGACAAAGGAAAGAAGCTGCAAGCAATAATAATTATTACAGAACATGATTCTCAAAGAAATACAATCCTATTGTGCTTAATTATATAGTTATTACAAATCATGATTTAAAAAACAGTGATAATCCTTCCAAACAGCAGCCCCATCAGATTCAACACAACAAACAACATCCCTGAGATCTGCACCAAGGCACAAATGCAAGGTCCTCTTCCTCTTCTGTTATTCACTACATTTGATCTTCTCTCTTGTGAACAGGCAGCAAGCATTAATATCACATAAGCAGCATTTTATATTCATTATTATATGAACAAAACTAAATCAAAGCAAGGTATACTACAGTCTTTATATACAACCAGTTATTGGAGATTATACTACATTCTTCATATCATAATTAACTCCAACTGGCTTTTATATATTATATAAAACTGCAGCTACGCTATTGAACAGGCATATGATTTCAGATTAATTTGGTGAGATTATAATCTATGGTCGTCTTGTATAAAAACACATTCAATTATAATCTATGGTCGCCAGCTTTTATGATGTCAGTTTGCACAGCCAAAAAATTAAAAACATTAAAAACAGAGAAACTAGTTTTCATACCTATACCCAAAATAGAAGCAGCAGATGAAGAAGAGGTGAAGGAGGACTTCGTCATCTCAGTGGTTGAGGGGCTGTCTACGACCTCGTCATTATCACAAAAACAAACCAGACTTATTTTTATAGAATCAAAATCAAATAATTACAGAAAATTTGTTAAATAAACAAAATAATTAACTCAACACACCGTTGAATCAGAGTTGGTCTGTGGGTGAAGAGATTGTAGAGAATCTCAGGTATTTGCGTGAGTCAGAGAGTGTTGATGTAGCAGCAAGTGGAGTAGAGAATTCTAGAGGGGAAGAGAGAATGGGAAATAACTCATTCTTGTAATGCCGACAGTAAGCAATCGATTTCTATTTCCCAGGAGATCTCAAAGGTGGTCCATTCTCTTTGCCTGACGATGGATTTCGCTGAGGGCGAATGGGTGGGTTTCGCCGAGTATGAATCATGTTGGCTTGAGTTAGCGTCGAGGGATAGGGAAAGGGAGATGTAGCAGAGAGACAGAAAGAGGGGGAGAGGTAGCAGAGAGAGATGGAGAAATAATGAGAGGGAGTTGCAGCTAGGGTTAAGAGACGAAGGAAGGAAGGAGATAGGAGAGAGGATCTAAGGGAAATATGAGGGAGAGAGAATGGTTAGATAACTTAGATGTGTCCGTGAGTTGTAGTTTTGGAGTCCAATCAAGTGTTGCAAGGTACATGGTACACTTCTAAATAACCACTCAAACCTTGCCACATGTAAACTAAATTAAATAAATAATAAATTAATTTATAATCGGTCCGGTTTGGTTTAGGACAGTTTTTAAAACACTCAAACCGCAGCCGAACCAAACTAAACCGGTTCGGTTCGGTTTTTCAAACTGTTGACTTTTTCTTTGGTCAAAACCAAACCAAACCAATCCAATATAATCGGTTCGGCCGGATTAACCGGATCGGCCGGATTGATGCCCACCCCTATTAGAATGGATCCCTATTGCCAACAAGCAAAAAAAAAAAAAAAAAAAGAGTTTTCAATTTTGAAGCTAGTTGGGCTAATATAGAGGAATGAAAAGAAATTATCAATACTAGTTGGGAGGCCTATCGGATGGTAGATGGATTAATTCCTTGTCTTCTAATCTATAGAACTATAAACAGAATCTTATTTGTTGGAATAAGAGTCGCACCCAGAATTGCAAAATTCGGATTTCTGAATTAGTACAAAAACGGTAGTGATACAGGATAACCATGCTATTTGTGACTCTATGCATGGTCAGATGGAATTAAAAGCTGAATTGGCTGAGATGTAGAAGGCCGAAGATCTTTCCACTACCTGTTTTTTCCACTTGACTATTATCCAAAGAAGATAGAGGAATCATTTCCTACGCATTAAAAATCCTCAAGGGACCTGGTTAACTTCGGAAGGTATGATTCAAAATGAGTTTAAAACTTATTTTGCTTGCGTGTTTGCTTCCTCAAGTAGTCGAGACTTTGGTCGGGTTATGAATTGTATCCACCCAGTATTGAATGATGATATGAATTGGATGTTGTGTGCCCTTTTTTGAGGAGGAAATCCATGATGCCTCTACCCAATTGGGTTCCCTTAAGGCTTCTGGCCCAGATGGATTTCCAAGTATCTTTTATCATAAATTCTGGTCAACTTTAAAAGAAATAGTTGAGGGGGCTACTGCTGAGTTTTATGAAGGTTATGATCATATGAGGGAGATCAACCGTACCCACATTGCTCTTATTCCCAAGGTGCAGTCACTGGAGTGCACGGGGCAATTTAGATCGATTAGCCTATGTAACAACTCGTTTAAAGGGTATTCTTCCCTACATCATCTCTGAGCAACAAAATGCATTTATCATTGGAATTCAAATTCAAGATAACATCATCATAGCCCACGAGGTTTATCACTACTTGAAGCTTAAGAAAGAAGGGAAGAAGTTCGAAGTGGATTTAAAGATAGATATGAACAAAGCCTATGATCATCCTAAATGGGACTTTTTGGAGGCTATCATAAAACGTATGGGATTTGCTGCACTTTGGATCAAGCTAATCGTGGCTTGTATCACATCCATTTCTTTTGCAGTGGTCATAAATGGTAAACTTGGAGCCAACTTTCTTCCCTCTCGAGGGCTCAGACAAGGAGACCCTATTTCTCCCTATTTATTCTTAATTGCAAGTGAAGTTCTATCTCTAAACATCTAACAAAGTATCGACAATAAGGTGATTAATGGTCTCAAGATTTCGAGAATAGGACCAATGTTATCTCATTTGTTTTTTGTCGACGACTCGTTTTTCTTTTTTAAGGCGGATTTTGTGAATTATGTGAAGATGAAGAACCTCATCAATGGTTATTGTAATGCTCGAGCATTACTTTCAGCCATACCTCTTCCCCTTGAGTTGAAAAATTGTATTGCTAATGTCTTTGGCATTTTGAATAGTGCAAACCCGGGTAACTATTTGGATCTTCCACCTTAATGAAGTGAGTCCAAGAAAGCTGCAATGGGGTTCATCCTTGAGAGAGTTAAGAAAAATATCGTTGGTTGGAAAACTCACACTTTGTCTACTACAGTTCCCGCGCTATCCAATAATGTGTTTTATTTTCCAGCTATCCTGTGTAATGACATCAATAGTGACCTTGTTAATTTTTGGTGGGGTTGCTCTGATGTGGGATAAAAAATCCATTCGAAATCTTGGCATTCTCTTTGTATGACTAATCAGAAGGGCGGGTTAGGGTTGTAAAAAAGGAGTCACGAGCAGCCCACCTCGTAGGTTTGAGAAATTTCCACGACCAGACGGCGCACCACCACGTCCAGTACCACGAGGACGAGCACCACCACGTCCTCGATTAGCAGCAAAAGCAGCGATGATAAGAGAACTCTCAATCACAGCCCCCACCTATTCAGCCAATCTGCGTTCAGTAGTCAAGAGCAGTGCCTCAAGCTTTGGATACGTGAAAGGAGTATCCCTAGCCTGAGCAGCAATAACAACCATTTCAAAGGCAGGACCCAAATTATTCATAATAATCTGAACCAGTTCATCATCACTTACTGGTTGACCTGCAAAAGCAAGATTATCAGCAACTTGGTTCATTCTATCAAGATAATCAGAGACAGATAAGTCTGGTTGCGTTGACTTGGTTCATACATAACGGCCCTCCAAAGCCAGCCAGGTCGCACGAGAAATCTGGTTGCGAGCGATGGTGGACAACACAGAAGGAGTGAAGGAGCTATTGAGCCAACTCAGAATAAGTTGATCATGTTGCATCCAGGTAGTGTGTGCAGGAGAAACAGTGGTAGAACCAAAAATATACTGAGGAGGGCAAGGAATGGAGCCATCCACATATCCCATAAGATGACGGCTCCGAAGAATATTGACGCCACCTAGCCGTCTAAACATCTCCCTCGCCACCCAGTCGTCTTCCCTCCTCCCTCACCACCCACCCGGCCTTTCCGTGCCTCCCATTCTTAGTAAAAAGTTAAACGTATTTAGAAAGCCCAGAAATTTTGAAAATCAGTGCAAACCCATTAACACATAAAACAAAAATCGAATGTCGTTAGATAGAAAGCTCAGATACCATGTAAAATATCAAACACACGTTTTGGCTGAATGATCCATCAGTGTGATGGAGGGTTTGTATTTATAAACAAACTATACAAGAGTTGAGTTACAAAGATAAGATAGGACTCCTCCTTTAAGAGGTTATCCTTATCACAGAGTTTGAAATACAAAAACAATCTGAACAAACTATCAAACTTTCAAACATACAATCCAATCATGATTTTGAATTCAAAGCTAAGGATAGCCTTGGACTAACAGGGGTTCCATGACCTTACGACTTTCAATGGCAATTAATGTTGGTGTCTCATCCGGAACTCTGAGGCTTTTTGGGTGCAGGATTTGAAAGGACACTATTTCCCAGAGGCCGATTTTCAAAAGGCAACAATTGGGGCTAAACCCTTTTGGATTTGGTCGAGTATTTTTAGAAGGTAGGAAGGCTATTATTGAAAAAGCACGGGTCCAAATCTCAAATGGTGTTGGTACCTATGTTGCACCGACACTCCAAACTGCTGGAGTGTCGGG